CTCCTAGCAGCTGTGGCAGGGCTATTCTTCCGTCCGATAACCAGATCCATCCCTCTTCTATCAGCTGCCCTCCTTCTGCCTGGAGAAAGTCCTTCTCTTCTTTAGAATAAGTAAGTACGGCCAGGCGTGGTGGCTCATGCCTGTAATCCCAGCACTTCAGGAGGCCGAGGCAGGCGGATTGCAAGGTCAAGAGATCAAGACCATCCTGGCTAATATGGTGACACCCCATCTCTACTAAAAATACAAAATATTAGCCGGGTGTGGTGGCAGTCACCTGTAGTCCTAGCTACTCGGGAGGCTGAGGCAGGAGAATGGTGTGAACCTGGGAGGTGGAACTTGCAGTGAGCCGAGATTGTGCCACTGCACTCCAGCCTGGGCAACAGAGCGAGACTCCGTCTCAAAAAAAGAAAAGAAAAGAAAAGAAAAAAGAAAGAATAAGTAGGTACAAGGTCAGGTGCCTGAGGGAGCAGGGGGACTGTGACTGATGCCTGGTAGGGGGTGGATACTGCTTTTTGAGATTCTAAGTCCCCCCGGGAGTTCCATAAGGCAATCGAGGTGGAAGCTCGCTGGTGTCCTCCGCAGTGTATGACTGCCACCTTCTGGGGCTTCCACACTGCCTCTAATAATTGCAGGATCCCTTGCTGATAGTTTATGTCTTTGCCCCCAGAGTTCAACAGACCTTTCCCCTTGTATAACACCCCATGTACTTGGAGGGTTAAGAAGGCATACCAAGAGTCAGTGTAAATGTTTACAATCTTACCTTCACTCGGGTCTAAGGCCCAAATTAAAGCAATGAGTTTGGCCTTCTGGGCTGAATTGCCCTGGGGCAACGACTAGGCTTCAATAACAGCGTCCAGGGTTACCACTGCATATCCCGCACATCCCCTCTCCTTGTGGGTTGATGAAGCTGCTCCCGTCCATGTACAGTTCCCAGTCTACTGATGTCCAAGGATGGTCTCGGAGGTCAGGCCTGCTAGAATAAACTGAGTCCAACACCTCTATACAGTTATGTTTAACTGGGCTCTCTGATACAAGGCGCAAGGTGGCAGGGTTTGGGGTGTTGCAAACTTCAATAGTTATGTGGGGATTTTCACAGAGCAAGCTTTGGTACCTAGTTAGTCTAGCATTTGTTAACCAATGATGTCCTTAGATGTTCATTAGTGTTACCATCATGGGCCTTTATGTTTAGGTTTTGCCCAAGAGTTAGCTTATCTGCTTCTTGTGCTAGCAGGGCTGTTGCTGCCAAGGCCCTCAAACATGGGGGCCAACCCTTAGAAACCTCGTCTAGTTGTTTAGAGAGGTAGGCCACCGGCCACAGCCAGGGCCCTACAGTCTGGGTCAAAACACCAACCACTACTTTTTCTCTCTCTGACACATATAGTGTAAAAGGTTTTGTCAGGTCAGGTAGCCCCACGGCTGGAGCCGACATGAGTTTTTTTTTTTTTTTTAACTCATGAAAAGTTCATTGCTGTTGGTTGTAATAGATGTAGTTTATCCAATCTACATTTTTATTAACTGTCACCCACCAAAATATTGACTCAAATCCTGCAACTATTTGATTTCAGGCTTTAAATTGACCTGGTATTCCCTGTGGGACTCCAATTGCATCTAAATAGACGTGAGAGTTGAAAGACATATAAGGGGCTTCTCTCACTTTACAATGTCTTATTTTCCTCCCTCTGGTTGATGAAATGCCAGGGTGAAAGGGATAGCCAATTGGACTAAAGCACAACTGCCGCTCCAGTTATTTGGCAGAGTGTCCAGTAAAGGTCCACCACAGTACCACCACACATCCGCTCGGGGACGAACAAGGGCTGACTGATTGATAAGCTTTTGAAAATTCTTAAGCTCACTGCATCCCTTCAGGTCTCCAAGGAATGCTAAGTTTCCTCCCTGTCACAAGAGACACGAAGTGAACTTAGTGTTAGGAGATGGAAGCTGGATGGTCCTTGGGGGCTGACCCACAAGATGCCAAATTTCAGGATATAGCAGAGAGAGAGCTTGGCACGACTTATTACTCCAGGCTGTAGAATCCTGGAAAAGAGCTACCATGCAGTCCACGCCTGGTCAACTGCAACTTTCCACCTTAGTGGAAAGGGGATAGTCTGGGCCTCTGGTCTACCATGTGCACAAGCATAACAAGTGCTTTTGTTTAATGTGCAGATGGAATATTTGATCTATTCCAACTAGGCATTTGCATCTTGTTATCCTGTCTTAATTGCCAAAGTTTGTTTTAAGTCTGTATCTTCTATGATCCTCTAGTAAAATGAATGTATGCTTTTAGGAAATTACAAAAACTGGTTGGGGCAGTCCATCCTTGCTCTTTAGTGGTCCACAGAATGTTGGACAAACTACAGCATAAAAGCTCTACATCAGGGGACAAGACTCCTGATTGACACTGGGGTCTTTATTGAAATCTCTTTGGATTAAATGGTCCCAATTTACTAACGCCCAGTCTGAGGAGAGTCAGGAGGAACAGAGGTACTTTTCCGAAATAGAAAGCTGTCTTTGACTTGGCAAGTCCCCACAGAGTATAACAAGGCAAGCATTAAATGCAATAGTTTGAGGTGAAATTGACTTGGTTATGTTAATAACTAGATGGTCAGCAATAGAGCAAGGAAAGAAGTAATAGAGTAGATGAGAGAGTTCAATTTTTCTTAGCTTTAGTTTGGTAGGGTTTTCCCCTGGGACTATGGCCCATGACTCTAGAGGGGGTGGTGCTTTCTTGACTCGGGTGTGATGAATCCATCCCTTTTTCACCATATAAACAGCAATCTCAGTGGTTAGTAGCACAAGGTAGTGTCCTTCCCAGGCTGACTCGAGTTTTCCTTCTTTCCACCCTTGGATGAGAACTTGATCTTCAGGCTGGTGCTAGTTTACCGGAAATTCTAGGGGTGGTACATGTGCTGAAAGACTTTTAGTTTTGAAGGGAAGTAAAGTGGAAGATAAACCAAGTATAGAATTTCTAAGAAATTGACCTTTTGTTTTATTTTTATTTTTTGAGACGGAGTCTCGCTCTGTCGCCCAGGCTGGAGTGCAGTGGCACCATCTCGGCTCATTGCAAGCTCTGCCTCCTGGGTTCACACCATTCTCCTGCCTCAGCCTCCCAAGTAGCTGGGACTACAGGTGCCCGCTACTACGCCCGGCTAATTTTTTGTATTTTTAGTAGAGACGGGGTTTCACGGTGTTAGCCAGGATGGTCTCAATCTCCTGACCTCGTGATCCGCCCACCTCAGCCTCTCAAAGTGCTGGGATTACAGGCGTGAGCCACCATGCCCAGCCGACCTTTTGTTTTAAATGTGGAGACATCAGCAGTGGACTTTACAGTCCTTTGTGCCTTCTTAGTGAGAAATTTCCTTTAGCACCATTTTTATTAGTTTTTAGACCAAAGAAAGCCAAACACCATTTTTTATTTGACAGTGCTTCCTGTATGATTTTTATACCAGATAAGCTGAATTTCACCTTTATATTAGTGTGTTATTAATGTTAAACTTAGTTTTAATAAAACTTTGTAGACATATTTATTCAATTTTTAATGTGTGACCATAAGGTAAGATTTTTATAGACTCTTTTTAACATTTTATACTTGTTGTTAAAGAGCAGGTTAGTGCTTTAAGAAAAACCCATTGTGTTTTTATTTTAATGTCCAGTTCATAGAAAAACTGGATACCCCTTTAACTTTAGCCAATATGTTTACACACAGAATTTCCTTTACAATTAATATTTCAAAACTTGCTTAAACCTTCAAAACAAAAATTTTTTTTAACCTTTTAATGTAGTTAAAAATCTACATTCTTATGCCTCCTTATAATCTTTTTATTAAAAGTATATTTTACTTTCCTTATACACCTTGCACATAAAATGTTTCTTCAATAGTTTTACATTCAGGAGGCCTAATTATTTTTAAATTATACAATGTTTCTTGCATAAATTCCTTTTTACGACACACATTCTTTTTTTCTTTCATGACTTTCACAAACAATTCTTCGACATGCCTCCACTTTCTCACTTATGGCAAACATCCCTTTCTTTAAACAACAAGTTAATTTATTTCAGGACAAGAATTTACCATATAACATTCTTTTTACATAAATTCTCCCCACCTTTGCCACTATTACAACTGCTGCCTGTCCTCTTAACCACTGTAGGGATTTAAAACCAGCTGTAACCAAGTGTCTATGTACAGAAACTGGTTTGGGTATCCTGGCTTACCAGCTACCTTGTGCCATACCTTTGAAACAGGGGACCTGTCTAGGCTTCCTTCTGATGGTCAATCCACTTCTAATGCTGGCCAATCTATCTCATGCAAGGTCCTAAGTTTTCCTGGGGTATAGTATCCCCATAATCTCCATTAAAACCTTTTTTGAAAATTTTTTTTAACATAATCCCTAACGGGGTGGGCTTACTCTGTGTTTTACCCATTTTCCTCCCCGAGACAAAGCAACACTCTTGCCACAAGAAGGGAAAGAATAAGGGCAAAGAGTAAAAGGTCACTCACTCGTCAAGCAATTCACACCAAATCAGAATCAAAACCAAAACCAAAGTGCCGATAAAGGCATGCTTGTTCATCAAGCAATTCAAACCAAGTCAAAATCAAAATCAAAACCAAAGTGCCAATAAAGGCATGCCGTGGGTGATCAGGCCACGCTTCCACTTAAATGGAGTGGGCAAGTTCCCAAGACTGGTCCTACTGTATTCCAGATGTCCAGACTCCAAGCGCCAATTCCTTCCTGGTGTTCAGCCACTGAATTGATCCTCCGTGGGGGCCTGCCATGCACTGCTCTGACGAGGTGTTCCACCCGGGGAAATGCCTACCCGGGAGAGCTCTCAGGATCTGCTTTGCTCAAGCTGGCTGGAGTCCCCATGCAGGGATGTTCCGCAGGGCAGGCCTAAGCCGCCTAAGGGACTGCCTTGGCCGTCTGTCAACCACCTCACTTCCCCGTCAGGGAACCAAGAAATGTAGCAGGTCGAGCTGCAGACAAAACCCCTCAGACACTGGGTTTAAGAAGGAAGTGGCTTTATTCGGCCGGGAGCATCGGCAGACTTACATCTCAAGAACCGAGCTCCCCAAAGAAAGAGTTCCTGGCCCTTTTAAGGGCTTATAACTCTAAGGGGTCCATGTGACAGGGTCATGACAGATTGAGAAAGTGTGGGATATGTGACTAGGTGGGTGTAAGCAAGGCAAGTATTTCTCTATACCATCGTCTGTGATCTATAGATAACACAAGTGATTAGGATGGGGATTAATCTTTAACCTACAGGCCTGGCCAGTGGTGCCCGATCAGTCTGTTATTTTTCAGTTTTTACTTCTTCCTTTTCTTTGGAGACAGGAGACAGTAAGAGAAATGGCCTCTCTCCTCAATATCATCTTTTGTGGCTGAAAAACACCCCTCTGTGTTACATGTACTGATCTGTGGTTATACGTACTGATCCCTAGATTTTTACCGTTTTAGCTTACATTTTCTCCACCTGGCAAACACCTATGGTTGGTTTGTTACCAGTTCAAATGTCACCTCTGCAATAAAAAGATTTTCCTGTCTTCTTTGGAAGTTACTTTTACTGCCGCTGTGTTGCCATCTTCACAGCCCCCTCTCTGTGACTGTGTTCTTGGATGCCCTGGCAAACACCATGTTCTCTGTTCTCCCAGCATTCTCCCAGGGTTCTAGGTCCAATTCCCATCAGGATTCAGCTGCAAGCCACAGAAGAACCCCAGCTTCAGTTTCCTTACTTGAGAGATGAAGGGGTTGAGTCAGGACTGGGGGATCCTCATTTCTGATATCTTCTGCTTTTTAAAAACAGAATTATAGGCCAGGTGTGGTGGCTCATGCCTGTAATCCCAGCACTTTGCGGGGGCTGAGGCGGGTGGATCACCTGAGGTCAGGAGTTCAAGACCAGCCTGGGCAACATGGTGAAAACCCATCTCTACTAAAAATACAAAAATTAGCCAGGCATGGTGGAGGGTGCCTGTAGTCCCAGCTACTCAAGAGGGGCTAAGGCAAGAGAATCGCTTGAACCTGGGAGGCAGACTTTGCATTGAGCTAAGATCGTGCCACTGCACTCCAGCCTGGGCAACAGAGCGAGACTCCATCTCAAAAAAAAAAAAAAATAGAATTATAGAATTTTAGTATTGATAAGTGATCTCTAAAAAAAATCCTTTTATTATTATTATTATTTTTTTTTTGAGACGGAGTCTGTCTCTGTCACCCAGGCTGGAGTGCAGTGGCACAATCTCAGCTCACTGTGACCTCCACCTCCCAGGTTCAAGGTATTCTCTTGCCTCAGCCTCCTGAGTAGCTGGGATTACAAGCGTGTGCTACCATGTCTGGCTAACTTTTTATATTTTTAGTAGAGACGGGGTTTCACCATGTTAGCCAGGATGGTCTCAATCTCCTGACCTCGTGATTCGCCCACCTCGGCCTCCTAAAGTGCTGGGATTACAGGCACAAGCCAAAATGTACCATCTTAACCATCTTTAAGTGTACAATTCAGTGGCATCAAGCACATTCACACTGCTGTGCAGGCATCACCATCATCCCTCATTTTTTGTCTTGCAAAACTGAAACTCTGTACCCATTCAACACTAACTCTGCATTCTCTCCTTCCTCAAGCCCCTGGCAATCACCATTCTACTTTCTGTTTCCAGGAATTTGACTGTTCTAGGTACCTCATATAAGTGGTATCATACTGTATTTTCTCCTTTTGTATTGGGCTTATTTCACTTAGCATCATGTCATCCAGATTCATCCACATTGTAGCATGCATCAGAATTTCCTTTCTTGTAAATTTTCCTTCCTTCTAGTGAATAATATTCAGTAGTGTGTATATACCACATTTTGTTTATCCATTCCGTGTTTTGAGAGTTCTTGCAGATCCTGCTATTTCACTCCTTCATAATGTGCACCATCAAGTACTTTCCTAGGAGGCCAAAGGCCTTATATGTTTCTTATTTATTGGGCAGAAGGACCAACTGGTGTGACTCTCTTTTCCTAGGGACCACAAGCTGACCTCCGACACCTCCAAGGCCAGAGGCCATGTCTTTGGTTGACTTGGTTTCTGGAAAGAAACACTTTCTTTCCAAGCCCTTTGGGATCTCACCCCTGTTAGCTGGAAACATCCTTCTGGAGCTGGACTGGTCCATGGAGATCAGGAGTCTGCCGACATCCTGCTGGGAAGCTCCTGCCAAGGTGCTCGGGATGGTGTTTTTTTACATTCCCCACAAGGAGCTTCAGGTGTGCTGCCTTTCTTCACCTTGCCCTTCTTTTTGGGGTCCTGAGGCACAACCTTCTCTGCACCCACCCTCGGCTCCATCTTTTCAGATATTGTGTACCCCACTCGCCTGGGGCCTTTGCTGAAGCTTTCACAGGAAAATCTGGGACCCTCAGCCTCAATTCTTCTACCTTCTTAAAAAAAACAAACAGCCAGGTGTGGTGGCTCACGCCTATAATCTCAGCACTTTGGGAGGCTGAGGCCAGTGGATCATCTGAAGTCGGGAGTTGGAGGCCAGCCTGACCAACCAACTAGAGATGGTGAAACCCCGTCTCTACTAAAAATACAAAAATTAGCTGGGTGTGGTGGCGGGCACCTGTAATCTCAGCTACTCGGAGGCTGAGGTGGGAGAATTGCTGGAACCTGGAAGGCAGAGGTTGGAGTGAGCTGAGATCGCACCATTACACTCTAGCTCAGGCGACAACAGCAAGACTCCATCTCAAAAAAAAAAAAAAGGAAGAGAGCACCATTATCAGGAAATACACACTGAATATTTAGGGGTAAACGAGCACCATGTCTCCCGGTTACAAACAGTTCAGAAAAACATGCATCTGTATAAACATATTCAGAGAGAGGATGACAAAGCGAATGGGGTAAAATGCGGACAACTGGTGAATCTTGGTAAAAGGCTTACTTACAGGAACTCTTTGTAACTGTAACTTTTCTGTGTTTGAAGTTACATCAAAATTTAAAAATTACAAAAACAACAAAATTTCTCTTTTAGAAACAGTACTACTCCCCAAGAATTAAAAAGACGTTTTTTAAACCTTTTTTTAAAATATAATATTCCAAATTACAAATAAGGTATTTTCACGTCTGTGCTCACCTTTGATGTTCCAGATATTTGTTGAGCAATTAAAAGATGGCATCCCGGCCTTCAAGGCCTTCACGGTTTAGCAGGGAACACAGGAAATGTTGAGTGCCATCCACATCCATGCCAGGGCCGTTCCAGTGGGAAATGGTGGAGGGGGCCCAGAAAGTTCTTAAACTTCAGCTAGGTCTTGAAGAGTGAAAACATGGTCGAGGGGACCTGGAAAGTTCTTCAACTTCAGCTAGGTCAGCTAGGTCTTAAAGGGTGAAAACATTAGGGAGGCAGATGCAAGGAGAGAGGTAATTCACTGGGGTGGGGAACAGTGTCTGTTGAGGTGCCTATTATACACCAAACGCTATGCCAGCAGCTGTCCTCTGTGGGGCTAGCAGCTGTCCTCTGACTGAGACCCTGGAAGTCAAATACGATGATCTCACTTTACCAGGAAGTCTTGGGTGTGGAGAGATGCCAGTAACTTTCCCATTCGGGATGTGACTCTCTGAGTTCCAATCAGATACGCTTAACTCCAAGCCATGCTGCTCTGCTTCTATGCAGAGGAAACAGCCATTATTCTTGCCTCTATTTTACAAATTGTTATTGAGTTTCCTCAGTTTCCCCAAGGATCACTGTGTTGGAGACCATGAAGAAGAATGGATATGAGAAAATGCAGTGAGCCCGGCCGTGTGCGGTGGCTCAAGCCTGTAATCCCAGCACTTTGGGAGGCCGAGACGAATCACGAGGTCAGGAGATCGAGACCATCCTGGCAAACACGGTGAAACCCCGTCTCTACTAAAAAAAAAAAAAAAATACAAAAAACTAGCCAGGCGAGGTGGCGGGCGCCTGTAGTCCCAGCTACTCGGGAGGCTGAGGCAGGAGAATGGCGTAAACCCGGGAGACGGAGCTTGCAGTGAGCTGAGATCCAGCCACTGCACTCCAGCCTGGGCGACAGAGTGAGACTCCGTCTCAAACAAAAAAAAAAAAAAAGGAAAGAAAATGCAGTGAGCCCAAGGTGGACTGGCCCTCTCTAGGGACTCACCACTCCCTGCCAGGGTGGGAGTTAGGGCAGTCTACCAGAAGTCTGCTTCTCTAGAACAAAATATACACGAGGTGCTTAGAACAATACCTGGCACATAAGAAGTGCTATATTCATGGTTGCCAGTGTTATTATTTTATTATTATATATATACACACACACACACACACACACACATATATATATATATATTTTTTTTTTTCTTTGAGATGGAGTCTTGCTCTGTCGCCCAGGCTGGAGTGCAGTGGCCCATCTCGGCTCACTGCAAGCTCCGCCTCCTGGGTTGACACCATTCTCCTGCCTCAGCCTCCTGAGTAGCTGGGACTACAGGCACCTGCCACCTCGCCCGGCTAATTTTTTGTATTTTTAGTAGAGAAGGGGTTTCACCGTGGTCTCGATCTCCTGACCTCGTGATCCGCCTGCTTCCGCCTCCCAAAGTGCTGGAATTACAGGCGTGAGCCACCATGCCCGGCTATTATTATTATTATTATTTTTTTAGATGAAGTCTCGCTCTTGTTGCCCAGGCTGGAGTGCAATGGCGCGATCTTGGCTCACCACAAACTCTGCCTCCCAGGTTGAAGCAATTCTCCTGCCTCAGCCTCCCGAGTAGCTGGGATTACAGGCTTGCCCCACCTCGCCCAGCTAATTTTGTATTTTTAGTAGAGACAGTTTCTCTATGTTGGTCAGGATAGTCTCGAACTCCCAACCTCAGGTGATCCATCCACCTCAGCCTCCCAGAATGCCAGGATTACAGGCATGAGCCACCGTGACCAGCTAGTTGCCTGTGTTATTATCTGGGAAACAATAGCAACTGCCCCATGGACCCAGCCACAGTGAAACATTTCCTAGATCAGAAACTGGCTCTCTGGCGAGGTTGAGGAGGGCAGATCACTTGAGGTCAGGAGTTTGAGACCAGCTTGCACAACATGGTGAAACCCCGTCTCTACTAAAAATACAAAAATTAGGTGGGCTTGGCAGCGCGTGCCTGTAGTCCCAGCTACTTGGGTGGCTGAAGCAGAAGAATTGTTTGAACTTGGGAGGCAGGGTTTGCAGTGAGCCGAGATCATGCCACTGCACTCCAGCCTAGGCAACAAAGTGAGATTCCATCTCAAAAAAAAAAAAAAAAAGAAAGAAACAAACAAACAAAGAAAAGAGGAACTGGCTCTCACCTACAGCGCTGGCCTTTTAAGTGCTCTGTGTTCAGGAGTGGGTCCTTCCGGCTGAACCCTACTTGAAGAATTAATGGCTCCACAAGAAGGGCACTAAATCTTCTCAAGCTACTCTGAAGATAAATGTACAGCTGACCTTGCAAATGTCAACTGCTGGAGAAAGGACCCGATGCGTGCCTGAGGTCCATAATAAAAGTAGAAGTCTTACCTGGGTACAAGGTAGGGATCATTGTCTCTGCAGAATAGATTAGACTGAAAAAGCCTAAATAACCTATTCAATTTCAGAGTAAGTGGTTGATGTGGGTCCTGAAACCAGTTATCCCTGACTGACATTCATTCCACTAGACTGAACTGATCCATGTCTTAATCCACTGCAAAAGCTTCACTCACAATAATGACAAGGACCCACGAAACCCAGCTAGGTCTCTGCTGGCAGATTCTCAGGCAAAAGATAAGATTCCTTAGAATTACTTTAGAATATTTTTTATGCTAATTTACAGCTATTCACACTAATCAAGTGGATTTTCTCACTCTCTGAGAAAAATGGAGGATGATTAAATGCAATTTTCATTGCAGGACCAAGCAAGAGGGCCAAGAGAATAGCAGACCCACATCTCTCCTGGAAGTTTCTCTCTAAGTACAGCTACCCGGGTTTTCCCAGGACAATCTCATTTTCAAATTCTGTCTAGTTACATTATCTTGCATTTTAATTTTTAAAATGCAGTCATTCTGAAGAAATGGAATTCAGGAAATATTTGTCAAGCACCCCGTAGGTACCAGGCATTTTTCTAATTGCTGTGGCTGCTAAGGTGAATAAGACTGACTTGTAGGGGAGACAAAAATGAAAGGCCCCTAAGTATCAGCCTCAAACTCTGCCTGTCTTCTAATATCCAACAACTATATCTTCCCCAACATCTCTCCACCCCCACTAGTCACCATTATCTCTTACTTGGGTAACCGTAACCTCTTCTATCTGTTTCCCTTCCAATCCATTTTCCAGACTATTGCCACAGTAGTCCCCTTTTAATGCCTCCAAAGGCTCCCTTTGCTCTGCAAGATCAAAGGAGTTGGGACTTGATCAGGGCTCCTGTCAACCTCTCTGGTTTTGTATCTCACAGCCTACCACTACCCCCTTCTAAATTCCACAGGAATTTATTTGTTTGTTTGTTTATTTATTTATTTATTTATCGAGATAAGGTCTCGCTCTGTCAACCAGGCTGGAGTGCAGTAGCGCATTCGCACTTACACTACTCCTAGGCTCAGGAGATTCTCTCGCCTCAGCTTCCTCAGTAGCTGGGATTACAGGCATGAGCTATTGCACCTGGCCCAGAGAAATCTTGAGGTCCTCGAAAACATCCTTCTTTCTCCAGTCTCCAGGTGTGCATAGATTGCTGCCTGAAATGCCATTTCCTATACTTCTTTCTATCCCCAGTCTTCCTTGACTTGTAATGCAGCATATTGGAATTGACAAATTAGTTGTTTCCTTCTCTAAACTCCAGTGTGAAGGTAGAGACCAAGTCCTGTTCACCTTTGTATCTTAGAGCCTCGGGCAGTGCCTAGAGGTCAATACTTGCTGGATGAACACATTAATGGGTGACTGTAGTGATGCTATGGGGCTATTAAAGGCAAACAGAAGAGGGATGCAGGTTGAAATCCAAGGAAGAGAGAAAGTTTAACAAATTAGTCATTTCTTTATTTTATGTTTATTTTTTGTTTTTTCTTTCTTTATTTGGATCTCTGTTCCTGTGTTAAGTAGTTGTTTTCTTTTTTTGTTGTTGTTGTTTTTTGTTTGTTTGTTTGTTTTTGTTTTAAGATGGAGTCTTGCTCTGTCGCCCAGGCTGGAGTGCAGTGGTGCAATCTTGCCTCACTGCAACCTCTGCCTCCTGGGTTCAAGTGATGGGCAGCCTCCCGAGTAGCTGGGATTACAGGCACACACCACCATGCCCAACTAAATTTTGCATTTTAGTAGAAATGGGGTTTTGCCATGTTGGCCAGGCTGGTCTTGAACTCCTGACTTCAGGTGATCCACCTGCCTCGGCCTCCCAAAGTGCTGTGATTACAGGCATGAGCCACCGCACCTGGTCCCATTTCTTGAAATAAGTCTTGAAAGACATCTTTTAGCTAGGAGGAAGAATGGAGAGAAGAGCATTCCATCCAAACAGAGTCACAGCTGCAAGGGAATGTGCACTTTGCTCAGCAAAGAACCGTGAATGGCTGGTACACTGGAAGCATGCAAGGTGAACAATGAAAAGATGAGATTGCAGTGTCTGCTAGAATAGTCACATGGAGACGTGCTGGAAACAGATATTACCTGTGTCCAGGACTCAGGAAAGAGGGCTGGACTGGAGATACAGATTTGGATATAGGTAGAGGTGGAATTCTAGGGAATGGGTTGGGACTATGCAAAGACAGTGTGCTCATGGAGAAGAGAATGGTCTACGACAGAATTCTGAACAGTGCAGACATCTAAGAGACAGGTAGAGGAAGGAGTCAGCATAAAGACTGAGAATTCTCTGGCCAGGCGTGGTGACTCACACCTGTAATCCCAGTACTTTGAGAGGCCTGGATGGGAGGATCACTTGAGGCCAGAAGTTCACGACCAGCCTGGTCAAAATAGCAAGACCCCATCTCTATTATTTAAAAATGTTAAAAAAAAAAAAAAAAAAAAAAGACTGAGAAGTCTCAAGAGAAGCAAGGAAAACAGAAATATATTGGGGCAAGAAAGCCAACATATGGAATGAGATATTGTAGGTTGAAAAGTATCTATTGATATCCATTGGTCCATGTGTGAAATTCCTATTTTTGATATAACAAATTGCCACAAACTTAGTTTGCCCTCTGGTTCCCAAAGATTCACATCTGTCCTAAGTGCAAAAATATATTCACCCATAAAATCTCAACCCATTGCAGCAACAGCTCAAATGCAAAATGTCATTGAAGTCTCATCAGCTCAAAAGTCCCAAATCTCATCATCTATATCATTTAAATCAAATACAGGTGAGGCTGTTGGTACAGTCCCTCGTGGGGCAAAACTTCTCTCCATCCGTGGATGTTTGAAAATAGAAAACAAGTTATCTGTTCCCAAGATACAATGGTGAGACAGGCATAAAATAGCAATTGTAGACATTCCCATTCAAAAAAGGGAGAAAACAGAAGTAAAAAAGGAAGCACCAGTCCCACACAATTTCAAAATCTATCCAGGCAGGCCAGGAGTGGTGGTGTTCACACCTGTAATCCCAGCACTTTGGGAGGCCAAGGTGGGCGGATCAGGAGTTCAAGACCAGTCCAGGCAACATAGTGAAATCCCATCTCTACCAAAAAAAAAAAAAAAAAAAAAAAAAGGTAGCTAGGCATGGTGGTGCATGCCTGTAGTCCCAGCTATTCAAGAGGCTGAGGTGGGAGGATCACTTGAGCCTGGAAAGTGGAGGTTGCAGTGAGCTGAGATCACGCCATTGCATTCCAGCCTGGGTGACAGAGCGAGACTCTGTCTCAAAAAAAAACAAAAACAAAAACATATATATATATATAGAGAGAGAGATATAGATATATATAGATAT